AATTTTAATTATAACAGAATTTTGTGGAAGTGAAAGAAATTAGTTGGATTGTCCCATGAATTTTTCATGCTTCTATAAGGGCTGGAAATCTTCAAAACAATAGTAAGTAGAGAAAATGGGAAATGCACTCACTCAAATTATTTTGTTTGTGAATGGCACCCTTATCAATACGTCACCGTTTGCTACTGGTGGTGCCTGAGACAAGTACCAGTACCAGTTTTTAATCTTCTAGTTTAAACAATATAAGAGAGCAATATAGTCAGAATTCATTATTAATTCTCAAACTACATTACGCACAAGTTTCTAAACACAATAGTTCACTCCAACTGCCAACAAAAGCAAAAGCAAGAGACTGAACAAGTAGACAAATCAATAGGAGAGGAGAGGAGAATGTTGTTTTCATTATTCTCTTTCCAATCCAATTCCCTCTCCCCAAGTCCCGGTATGGGTGAGGTGTTAATGAAGAGAGTGGAATGAGAAAGTGGTCTGGGTCATTCAAAAAATGGAAGAATTTTTTTCTAAGCCATCTCAAGATTTTATTCAGAGACCTTAAGAAGAAAAAAAAAGTTCTTTATTGAAAACTATAAACAGCTACTCCATCCAAATTCATAAGCAACTAACAAATTACAGTAGGGTTAGTCACTGACATCTCAGAACACAAGCCCTTTTTTGTAATGGATTTTGTGTATTTTGTTGTTAAAAATTTCAACTTCCATGGCAGAAAGTCTTTTTCAAAGAAAGCGCTTATTGGGCCATTTCTAGCAAGAAAAAAAGAATCAGGTCTGGGGGTATAAAGTCTAAACCACCACCAGCAGCACGAGGTGGAAAAGACAACATGTTGGCCATCCTGGAGTGGGCCAGCCTTTCCATACATGAAGTAGGGGAAGAAAGATGTAAGTCGTTGTGAAAGAACTTACACTGGCTGTAGAAAAAGGGGGTGGGAGAAGGCAAAGCAGGGCTAGTTCTGGGAGAAGTGCTCCTCTGGATTGGTTATGGGCAACAGTCTGAAAAGTTCATGTGTAAACAAGATGCGAAGGAAGGCTCCAGGGTTTGATGGCATCTGTCTATCTTCTCTTTAAATAATAGCCACCTGGAAGTTAATTCAAAGTTCCAACATACACGCAGGAATGTGAGCAGTCTTGTTAGCTGGCCACAGCTATGAACAGCTAACTGCTCTGTCTTTCTCTCACTCTTTGGCCCACTGTAACTTAATCAAGCGCATCTCAGCATTTTTTTCCTTGTCAGTGTGCATGACATTAGAATATTCTGCAATACCTATTCCAGATAAATAAATATTGCATAGGATCCTAAGAAAAAAACTCTTAAAATTCAACTTTTAAATAGACCACCTATATTTCATGTTAAAACCTGATCATATATTTTAGAGATTGTTCTACCACTTTATACATCAGGAAAATATCTATGAGTTGTTCAAATAATTATTGCCAAGTTCTTTGCCAAAACAGGCAAAATTATAGTGTGATGTGGGGGAAGTCACGTCAGCCCAAGCTTTGCCAACAGAAAGCTGTGCAACACTACACACACTGCTTAACCGCTTTGTGGGCTGGTTTATATCATGATGAAGTGAGAGTCCATCCTCACCCAGCTTTTGCAAAGTGCTTTGAAATTCTACAATGCTGTCATCCAGTCTATCTCAGTGATGGCAAGCCTATATTTGATGAACATTAAGGACATGCAGAGATTTAGCATTTTCTCCTGGGAACAAAGAATTAAAATTCATGTCCAGCAACAGGTGACTTATTAAACTATTGCTGAATGCTACAGGTAGGACTCCAAGCAAATACTTCATCACAGCCAAGAAACAGGGCTGCTTCGGAATCTGTTTCCAAATTGTTTCTACCACTGTATGTGGCCTCCCAAAGGAAGTCCTGAGTAACCAAGTAACACAAAATAAAACAAAAAGCAGGCTTATTTCTTCTTCTACAGACAATCAGGCATCCACTTCCTTTAAAGTTCTTATTAATTCAAATCAAAGTAAGAAAAGTCCAAAAGACACAAATTTTGGGTCTTTCCTATGTTCAGTAGGAAAAGGAGAAAAGGACACATCTCCAGACACAATACAGGTAATAATCATTCCCCAGTAATATATATATTTTTAATCCTCACCCAAGATTTTGTTGTTGTTGTTTTAGAGAGAGGAAGGGAGAGAGAGAAACATCGATGTAAGAGAGTAACATCAATCAATTGCCTCCAGTACACACCTTGACTAGGGATCAAACCTACAACCTACGTATGTGCCCTGACCAGGAATCAAACCCACAACCTTTTGATGTACTGGATGATGCTCCAACCAACTGAGCCACCTGGCCAGGGCCACCAGTAATACTTTTATTATTGAAATTTACACACAATGCATTGGATAGCTACCTACTCACTTTAGAAAATAGACAGCATATGTGGATGACATTGACACCCACTCTCTCCCTCCACTGCCATGGCAGACATCAGGAATCCATGACCGCCCTCAAGCTTGCTGAGCTCAGACAGGACCTCAGGATTCTATACAACACAGCATTCCAGGTGGCCCCTAACAACCCGTCAGTACTGGCATTCATACTAAAGCCTATTTCAGCCCGGCTCTGCATATTCCTCAACATACTCTGCCAAAATATTGAAATGGATCTTCAAAGACAGCCACTTCCTGATAGTTTCGAGATACAGTAAAACCTTCACTTAAACAATAAAATGGTGTTTTCCTGTAATAAGAGCAGAGAACATAACTGCAAACATTAGTTTTAGTCCAGACACTATGCTATCCCAGTGAGATGTGCAAGTGGTTCTATATAATAAAGGCTTATATTCATCTTTTTAAAAATAGAATTTGGCTTTATTCAACACAAACACTGAATTCCAATCCACTCACTATCCTGTCACTCAAACGAGTGCTGGGCAGAACACAGACACAAACAGAGCTCCATCTGCTAATTAAAACTGGGCACAAAACTGTTAACAGGCATCTGTTGCATTGTTTGAATCTAATGGGCAGAGACAAAGCTGAAATGGCTCTTCAAAAGCAAACCCAGTGATTTCACTCATTTTCTCTTTGGTATTTATGTTAGTGGGGGGTTGAAAGCATGGTGTTAAACAGCTTATTATAGAGTCTGAAAGATAAGTGAAATATCTTGCATATTTTAAAACATCCCTTCAAAACTGATCATAGAAAGCTATACAACATTTTATACGGGGGTAAATACCATTCTTGTGTAAAGAATTCATGGGCCATTCTTATCTTATCTCAGACACCATCTAATCATCTATAACTATGAAAGAAAATAACTAAAATCCAAGCAATGCTTTACAACTTATACAGTGCTTCCACACTTCATCCATCCAGTCATTCACCTGTCCAATTGAGTGGTCATTTAATACAGGCATTGGAGATTTAAGAGATGAATAAGACTTGATTCCTGCCCTAGGGAATTCACAGCAACCTTGAAAAATTGGTCCTGTATTATTACACTCTAGTATAGATGAAAAAACTAAGGCCCAAGGCCCGAGAAGGACAACTGATGCACTAAAGGCCAGAAAACTAGGGAAGGCAGATGTCAGGACATGAACCCAGATCTGACTCCAGACCCACTGCTCTTCTTAACGTGCCATGCCCTTTCCCTAACACCAAACATGAACAAGTCCACTTCATTGGCTACTTACATGTCAGAAGATCCACATTGTTATGTTCCACAATATTATTACTCACCTAAATCTACTCCCTCATCCCCACTACAATGTTCTTCTCAATCTACTATGAAAAACTATTTCCTACAAAATTCTTCCAAGCAGCAATTCTCACACACGCAAGAGAGCTGGTCCCCAGGACGGCTCAGTGTGCAGGCAGTCAGACCTAAACTAGAACCAGCTCCAGGCCTTGCCAGCAGCATCCTGGCCTTCCATTTTTGATTCCACAGTTCTGTTCAGATTCAGTTATCAGATTCAGTTCAAAAACTAACTGCTATTTTATTCCTTAGTTTGCCTTATCTTCACAGATTAGACTTATCTCCCTCTAAAACAAGATGCAAACCAATTTCCCTCCAGCTTTTCTCAGTGGATCCAAACAATCTTGGTGCTGTTGCCAAGAGAATCTCCTCCCTGATTTGCTGCCATGCAGAACAGCTGGCCAAGTTCTTTATTAAAGTACACTTATGTTTAAGACACATCAATATCTGTAGCCAGGACTCAGTTTCCCTGCTCTCCTACGTAATTTGTGGAGTGGCTTTTTTCATATGCTAGAACACAAACTGAGGAGATGAGTTTAACCCTTTACTACCAAGTATTAAATTCTACATGTTCTGAAATAGATAGGAAGTCTACCGACAGCTTTGAAAGAACACATGACATTAAAATAAGGCTTCATGTACAAAATGTTCAATTTGAAGTTGAATGTTCCGTGCATAGTTTTGTTTGCAAGGATGAAACGAATGAAAACAACTATGAAAATTAAAATCAACTTGCTCTACATATCTGGATTACGCTCAGCCAAATGTTGATATCATCTTGGCTAAAAATGTAAACATGACAAAGTTTGTTTTTCAGTCAATAAGTCTTGATAAAAGCTTTGAATTGCTACCAACGAAAAACAGTTTTTAATAAAGTTGGGGTCAGCAAACTTTTTATATAAAGAAAGTAAATATTTTTAAGCTTTGTGGGACACATATGGTCTCTGTTGCATATTCTTTGTTTTGCTTGATTTTTTTAATAACCCTTTAATACTGTAAAAAGACCATTCTTAGAATGGACTGCAAAAAAACAGGCTGCAGGCCACATTGGCCTATGGGCAACAGTTTGTCAACCCATGATTTTGAGGAAACTGAATCCAAGAAAAAACAAAAAGTAATGTTACAGAAGAAAACATCTAAAAGTGCTCTGGTGAGAGAAGGCTGCAACAACTGCCATCATCCCCTTATTAATATGATTGCATTAGTTATTTTGCACAGGGAAGGAATTTTAATGACAGGGTGCCCTTTGATCTCCTAACCTGAAACCACAGAAAGAGCAAAGGACAGCTTCAGGTGCTGAGCTGTCCCTGTATCCACTCCTGCAGCACTCTGAACCACTGTATGAGCATTCACTATTTCCCGGAACAGATTTGGCTCATCAAAGTGGGAACATTTAACTTTCTCCACATAAAGCATACGGGCAAAATCTAATTTCTTCCTAGAAAAGGTGGTGACAAATTTGCGGAGATGGTCATACTGATTAGATATAGCAGCAGCTTGATTGTGAAAAGCGACACAGACTTGGATTTGGAGTGCGCTGGAGGCTCTGTTACAGCCCGCTGTGATCTTGACAATGTCAACTTAACCATAGTTTTCTTATTTATAAAATTGGGGTAGGGGCATAAAGTAGATCATCTCTAAGACTCTTTCTACTGTCAAACTATGACTATACTAAAATGAAACCACTCAGGAAATACCCTAACCGGAAGACGGGGCGGGGGGAGCGGGGGTGGAAGGGGGGCAGGCCAGGGGAAAGACAGCAAAAGGGAAGAAGCTTAGATTGTCTTGTTAGAGAACAGGATCTGCTTTTCTTTTTCTTCTACCAGCACCTTATCCAGTACAGGTCATTCCAACATGTCAATGTGCCCTCCTATCAATATTAAAATGCACCCACAGCCCACAGGAAATATAACATGTAGCTAACTGTATAGCTGTTTCCTGGTTGTCTTAATGTTACATTTTATAGACATTTAATTAAGCATTAATTATGATTATGTAAGAGGTTTGGGAAGCCAATTAAAAAACTTTTTTCAGTTCTCAAATATTTGAACTGAAAGGCTAGCACTGGGCCTATTATTTCAAATGGATAAAACAATCCTACTCAATAGTTGACAAATATTATCTGACTGATATACTGGAAGATTCCCAATAAGTCCGTTGGAAGAAAACATACCCCTCCACCCAAAGAGCAACAAGGAAATGAGGGGAGCCAGCAGGACCTGAGAGAACAGCAGGACCTTAGAGAAGTAAGGAAAAGTATCTGGGCGACAACTGTATCTGCTCTGAAAATGACTAATTGTCGCCTTCCTCTCATGATGGCAGACGCCTCATGAAAAGTGTCTAAAGATGGCAAGAGGCCCTTTTTAAAACTACTTAAACTTTGACAAACCAAAACTAAGTCTTAAAATGTCCCCTCATTAGAAGAAACAGGCACAAGGTATACATATCTACCAAACCACACACACATACACAGACTCCAGGCGTTAAGAAATGCGTCTTTCCTGTGACATAGGCCTTATCAAGGTTTGTCAGCTATGCTGTGGCAGACCTTGTCAAAACCCAGTTCCAATACCCAGGAACTTACACCTAGGAACTTCAAGAAATAACTATGACTGGGAGGAGATGAACCACCAACTCTCACTTCAACAACTTCCTATCACCTGGGAATGGGATGGGGGTGTTGAGGGAGTAGTGCAGCGGTTCTCAACCTGTGGGTTGCGACTACTTTGGCGGTCGAACGACCCTTTCACAGGGTTTGCCTGAGACCATCCTGCATATCAGATATTTACATGACGATTCATAACAGTAGCAACATTACAGTTATGAAGTAGCAACGAAAATAATTTTATGGTTGGGTCACAACATGAGGAACTGTATTTAAAGGGCCAGAAGGTTGAGAACCACTGAAGTAGTGGGATTTTGCTACTAGCGATGTGGACACTCCAAACCTATGTTTGTGGAGATTTTTACTACGATGGTATTAACATTCTCCTTAGTTTCCTAACTTCATTTCAATTGCATAGCATTGGGTTTAAGGTATATAAACTCTTCTACTGTTTGAAGGCAGTGTGCTACCACTTCCTGTTGGGGCTCTGGGGGGAGGGGGGGGTAAGTGGAGGCATGGAAGATTTCCCCCTCCTCCATGTCAACTGAAGACACAGTTCATAGTCTCTTTTTACCACATCCACCCCACAGAAAATACAAAGACTAAGATTATTCATGAGATTCACCCCATTTAACTGTCTACCACCTGTTCCAAACAGTGTCAGGACACTGTTTTTTATGCCTAGCTGTGGCCCTCCATTGAACTGAATTGCAATCATTAAAAAAAAAAAAAAATCAACACAAAAAGAATTCTAATCCTTCAGAATGAAAAGTAATTTTTAAAAGCTACTATTTTAAAAGGAAGTAGTCACCCTTACAGGAAATAGGGGGCAAAAATGAAGGCAAAAAGGGGAAAACTAATTAAACTATTATAAACAAGCAAAGGTCATCCAAGGAGCTTAACAGAAATAGCATCCAAGCGACTCACTCACTTTCAAAGCAGGAGACTGCTTCTGGGAGCGTCAAGCATAGAATGGACAAAAGACCACCCACTCAACTTGTCAGAAACTGTCCTTTACCAACTGGACTGCAGCATGCATTCAACAATGTAAGGAGGTTACTCTAGGTTTTGAGATGAGTACCAGCATCAAAATTAATGCCCTTTAGCTGCTGTAACAGCTCCAACCAAATCTCTCAGAAATATACTTGAGACGTGACATTTAAAATCTGCTTCCTCAGAAAAGAAAAAGTCCCACTCAAGACTGACTGCCAAGAACTTGCAGCTCAAACTTCCCTAAGCGAAGACATCATAACACCGGGGAGCTTTCAGACCACTCAATTCCTGTGAAAGAGGCCAGAGCAAACCAGCCAACCACACAGCTTTGCCTAGTGCTTGATTTGAAGGGCGCTCTATACCCAATTATGCTTTTTTAAAAAATAATAAATTATCCCTAAAACATACAAATAATCAAATAACACTTATGGTCATCGCACTAGCCCCCAATAATCCCAGAGATTCATGGTAAAATATGCTGTAAGAATTCATTTGAAAGACGCTTAAGTGAGCTCCTCTGAGAAGCCACAAGCATCACCCAGACGACCAAAAGTTAAGATGCTTCAGGCACTTAATTAACCGCAGCTATTTAACAAGGAAAAGGATGTTAAGGTCACTTGGATAGGCAGCTTAAAACCAGCTTTGATTTCCTCTTCAGTTTATAGGAAGTTAGAGAACTTGTTACCTGAACACAAAGTCTTCCAGTACAAAAGGTGGAAGGACAGCTCCCAGCCCAGATCAGAAAAAACACACAAAACTGAATCAAATGAAAATAACCGGGGGTATGTTGCTTGTTGTGATTCGTTGAGCAACTCATAATTAAAACCAGAGCAAAAAATACAGGGACCCAGGCAGACTCCTCGGCTGCGAAGTTCTTAAACATTCAAGCCCAAGAATTTAACAATTAAGTGTTGCTTTTCAGGAGATGGTAGTAAAGGTCTCCCATTTTCCTGACCACACCGCTCCCCAAAGTCACCGAGTCTCTTAACGCCCCTTCACACTCGCAGAACAGTTTAATGCTCTGGAGACATCCTCCTCTCATTGGTCACTTTTTCTCTTTCTCCTGCACTTGGTCCCGAGGAAGCGAGGACAGAAGAGGGTAACAGTGCTCCCAGTTCCTGAAGAAAGTCCTGCTGTCCATGCCCTCCCCTCTCCCACCTCCTCCACCGAGTGCCCAGCTTCCTCCCCCCCCTTTCATCTCACACCAGCTCTCCTTCACTTTCTCCCCCACGCACCCCACTCTGTCCTCTGGTCCCCTGAACCCTGCCCCGACCTGCAGCTTCCTTCTGGCCCCGCCAGGACACCTCCCCAGACCCCGGTGCCCGGTCCCTCGCCTCCGACCACTCACCCCCCCAATCCCCTCCCGCTGCTGGACTCGCCCCATTCGTGCCCCGGGGTCTCGTGTCCTCTACTACGGGATCCCGCCCGTACCCCCAACCAATCATTTCCCTGCACCTTTCCCTTCCCCCTACCAAGCCTGCCCAACAGT